TCAATCTTCCCCTGCCCTTCCCTCCGAAATCTTTGAACCAAAAAACCCTAAGATTATCCTTTTTCACAATCACAAGTTTACTATTTGAAAAGAGAGCATTATGAGTGGGTTCTACAGACCACAAACCACTTATAGACCGTAGATTTGAGTCCTCCATAATGAAAAAAAGTGGAATACCAATCAAGACTTTCATGTTCAAATTTTTATTAGACAAATCTAGATTTCCAGATTATATGGAGTATAACGTAATGAAGTAATCATTATTAAAAACAACATTGATCACAAATGTATATGTGAAGATATACGTGCAGTGGTGCTCTAACCATAAACAATAAGAACCCAGCAATGAGGCATATACTAAAGTTTTAGCCTATAGCACATAATAATTCCAGTCCTGTAAAACAGCAAAACATGAATCCACAGTCAAAACCTTGTGTATCTAAGTCTTGAATAAATAAAAATAATCTTAGTTAAAATGAAGATAGTTTGCTTAAATAATAAAGTTGTTTGCTACGCGAAGGAGAGATTAACAAAGTTCTATGCGAAGCCGAATGGATGAAAGTATGAAACATTATGCCAGGGGTGAATAACGCACAAAGAACAAACATATGACACCGTGAGAGGAGAAAGAAGCTGCAAAGAACAAAATGGTGAAGCTCGGTGAAAAGGAAGAAAACGCTTTCACTGAACTTCATCTACCCTCTGAATTAGAACTCTTTCATGCACTTCCTTAAAGACAGCTATTTTACTAGTCAGTCTAGGCCTGGCTCCTTATATAACAATGAATTGCTTAAACTGCCACAGAGTGCAAATCTAAAAAGAGTGCAAAACAGGAATTGCAGAATATCAAAAATACTAAAGTGAGATGCAATTTTAACCTAAAGCACAGGAAATTCAGTATCCCAAAATAAATAAAAAACTACGGAGTAGAAATTAAAGGCATGCCTGATAAAAAGTTTGGAGAACCAGCATTCAAATTCCTCCTAAGAATCCGGGCCTCAGTGTTTGACTCGACCGTCTCTATCAACTCCCTTAACCCCAAATTTCCGACCTTCTCTGTCTCCTTTTCCACCGGAGCTTCTTCACTCTGTTTCTTCTTCATTGTCGGCTTAGCAGTCAGCCTCTCGAAATAATTTCCGTATATATACTCAGGTGTGTACCCATTTTCCTCGTCGAACAGCATGATATGACCGTGCCACTCCCAGACCCGGTAATCCGACTCCGATTCCTCATGAAACCCGACGCATATGTGGTGTTCGCCGATTGCCACGGCCTGACCGGAGTTAGGCTTGAGAGAGCCCGTATCGCCGCTGTGGATTGTGCGGATGATATCTTTCTCCAGCCTCGATTCTTCCTTGGCAAGCTGGGATTTTGGGGACGACCCTATTCCACCTTCATCTTCGTCTTCATCTGAGTCGTCTTTGTCGTCGGAAAGGAGGTTCTTGATGAGGAGTTCTTCGAAGGAATTTGCGGAGAACAGAGGAGGGTTCGGGGTTGGCGGGCGGATTTGGAGCTTGCCCATCATGGATTGGAGGAAGAGGCTGTCGAAATTCGGAGTGGCGTTGAAGGAGGAATTCATGGTGGCAGTCGGACTTCGCTGTGGACTCACTCGACTGTGGTGGGATTGCAGGGGTTTAGAGGGTTTGACTGTTTGAGGTTTATGACCCGAGCTGTGTTACAATAGCGGTCCTCGCAGACATTTTTAAGGGGTAAATTTACCATAAAATTTCATCTTTTGTTAACATGTTGCTAATTGGTACATGTACTCCGTAGTACTCCCTCCGTCCCGGTCATTTCTTCCGATTTTAACCGATATCGAAAATTTAGGTAGTGAGAATAAAGTGAAAAATGTACGGTTGTAGTTGTGTAAGAAAAAAGTGAATGAATGTGAGCCACATATTCTTTCCAAAAGTGAAAGTTGGAAAAATTAATTGGGACGGCCTAAAAAGGAAAGTTGGAAAAAATGACCGGAACGGAAGGAGTATCTATCTATATACAAACTAGAGTGGAAAAGCAGACGGGTTTCCCACCTAAATAATATGGATACAAAAACGAGTCGAATCTCAACGCCATTATTATTGTATGGCCCATGTTCGAGCACTATCTTGTTAATCCACTCAAGCACATCACTAGATAAAGATGTGAACTAAGATGAAGAAGAAAAAAAAGATGTGAACTGTCATTATTTTTTGTGTGAACTAAGACGAAGAAGTATCATTATTGCACATTGGGTGACGAGAAAGATGTCAGAGTCAACTGCTCAAACACACGATTGTTTATTCATCGAGTAAAACATAGCCAACTTCAATCGGGTACGACTATATCCACCTACGAGCATCTCTCAACTTCAGCCGACATATCATTCATTACTAAGAAGATTGACAAAACATAAAGCTGTGCGGGTCCTACCAAAATTGGTGAGCATGAGGTGGTACTCAGCAGCTTCCTACCCAAGCCCATGGTCAGGTATCCTCTGGCGACAATTTAGACAAACTTTACAACTTAAAGAAGTTATGTATCTTATTTGAAAGAAAATCATTTGGATTCAATATTGTTGATAGCAATACTATTAGTATATCTGAAATTAAGCATTGATTTATATATGTGGGTTTGGAACACCACAAGAATCAATAATAACAACAAAAAAGAGAAATTAACAAAAATGGAAAAGAATAATGGAATCATCATCATCTTAGCTCTCTTTGTTAGCCCTTGCAGGTATCACTCACTATGTTCCCCAGAAGTTCAATGTGGAGGGAAAGGTTAATTGTGATACTTGCACTCTAATGTATTTTTCACTAGGTTTTGGACATCTGGTGTCAATGTGTGTGGTCGAATCGGTATTGCTGTATTTTTTCATAAATATACTCTATATCATCAAAACATCCTTATAATGTAAGGGTTAATCTCATTTTCACACTCATCTTTAGTTTGATAGTTGTGTGTTTTTAATAATGGCTATGAGCAACTCATTTGATAATCTATTTTAATTTGATTAGTCAAATTGATGAGTTTATTTTAAAGTTCAATTGATGATATTCCAGCTATTAAGTTTTTCGCTAATAATACTTTGAAAAATATATTTTGTTGCAATTTTTATTTAACAAAATGCAATATACTACTAGGAGAACTGTTAGGAAGTTGTTATCTACCAGTAGTATTGCATATTTAAAATATTATGGCCAGTTCCATTACTTCCACAGTATAATCCTCTTATTTTTCATTTTTATAATACTCTTACAATCTATGGTCCAAGAGAACTACTGTTGCCTCTATCTTTTGATGACTTATTAAAATTACTTCATTTTTAGTGTCAATTTGAATTCATTTTAAATCCTACAAATGGTCAATTGGTTGAAATAATATTTTTCAAAAATTTAATTTTACTTCCTTTGAGAAACTGTCAAAGAAAGGTTTCTAAATGGAACCTCATGTTGTCTGTGTTTTTATTGAATGTGTCATTTTTATTTAAAGATGTATTTAAATCATAACATTGTTGCATAAGATCTATAATGTGAAAGGGAGTGATGTCTCTTTGCCTCATGCTCTCTTTGATTTTTATCCTAATAAACAAATTAGCGACGATGGGCAGTTGAGATATGGTGCCAGAATCAACGACGCGTAGTGGAAACCAACAACATCAAGGGAATGGCAGTAGTTCCGGGAAGGAGGAGGCCGGCAATAGTTTATGATGGCTGGAGCTTTCAACAAGATCAACTACTAACCTTGACAGGTTTGAACTTGTGGTTTGAATTATTTTTTAAAAATTAAATCCTTCGATTAATGTTATTCACTTATTTGAAATGAATATAGAATAATGCTTGCTATTGGTTTAATTTGATCTTGGGAAGGAAATTTGGGTGATGAGTAATATGTTCTAAGTACTTCTGTGCTCACGTGTTTTATTTTTGTCAAAGCTATTGTTATCTTCATAACTATTTGTTGGTTTTATATATAATTATATATTTTTAAGACATTTAAAAATTTGGCAGTTTAATTAATCTATATATTCTATCAGTATATGTGAATAGCACAAAAGATGCAGTTTTATGCTAAAATATGCACCAATGGTAAAATGGGACGTGACGTACGTACCACTCATGTCCATCGGTTCAACCATCAAAACATCGTTCTTCTGCATATGTTTTTACCGAATGATCTCTCTTAGCCATGACGAATTAAATTGATCGAAATACTTATTTTGGTGAGCAGATGGTTCAATGCAATTTCAATTAGCTGCCTTACCTGCTTTCGATCGGTAAGTATAGTAATGTAAGTATCGTAATATTAATAGTAGGACTTTATAAATGGTATTCTGACATGCTTTGGTGCTCATTGAGATTTGAAATGTAGAGCGATTTGAAATGTAGAAAGACTGCAACACGAGGATGCTTATCATGGAATCAATTTCATCTCTTGGAGTTGCTGATGTGCATAGTCTTTATTTCTCTATTATTCTTTGAGTGGCTGGTGTGCGTCATCTGTATTTGTCTATTATTCTTATCCTCATGTGCCAAACTAATTGTCCTTTTATCTAAACATTCCTCGAATAATTTGGTTTATGAATTCATTCAATACTTTGCATTGATCTCTCTTAACATTAAAATATGTGGTGTTTGGTTTCGATATTTGGCGAGTCATAACATTTTATGTGTATTTTGATTATCCTCCCGACACTTGTGACTTTTTAGATCATTATTATTATATCATTTTATCATTTACTTAATTTTGTTCCGTGCAACTTACCTCCTCGGTCCATCACGAATTCACTATCCTCCTGCTGAAATTTCACATCGCCCCCGTTCAGATATTTTTGAACATCTGTTTTTTTTCTTTTCGCCCGGTTTCAGACTTTTTAAAAAAATCACATTTTTGTTGGACCCACCATTTTGACCCCACCCCGGAAGGCCGTCTGAGCCGCTGTAGCCGACCGGTTCTGGCGTTGACGTTCCGTCCATTTGCTTTTTACTTGGCATTTTCTTTTATATTTTTTCCACTATTCTTCATTCATCACCCGTCAGATCTGGCTCACCAGCATATTCCCTGTACTGTATTTCTTACCCGCTCTTCACCCATCCGGTATGTTCACACCCTTTTATCCTTCATGTGTTCTATGATGATCAGCATTACTTCAAATTTGCGTTCTAGATTTGTTCATAGTCGAATCGGAGTTATTCTTTTGTAATTTTCATTTTGGTTTTTTCTTCGAAATCCTTTCTTTCAGGGTGTGTTTTTCTCCTTTACCTGGATTGCTGGATATTTGAGGAATCAAATGGCCGCTCCGCCCGCTAGAGCTCGAGCAGATTATGATTATCTCATTAAGCTTCTCTTGATCGGCGATAGTGGTACGTTCCCAGCTTCTTCTTTTTGTGCGTGTGTGACTGTGTGTTTATAAACAGGTAACTCCATCAGCATCTCTTATTTGGTGTCATTTCAGACAGTAATTTCACTCTGGCCTTTTTAAAATTACATTTTTGAAACCCAAAGACTTTGATTTCTCAATTTCCTTTATTGCTTGGTTAATGAGCCGCTGAACCCAATTGGTTTCTTTGTATTTTTATAACTATCCAAGTTTGGTCTTGTCTGGTATGGGAGGAATTACCGTCCGAGTAAAAACATCCTAAGCACCCCAAGAGATATTGCCTGTATAGTTCTGTGCATGCAAGTGCCTCTATTTAAGTGTACAAAAAAAGAGTGTTGCAAAGCCACCTTTACCCAAAACAAGGCCTAGGCTCCCCACCCGGAAAAACATAATTTATCCCCAGTTTTCGTCACTCATACTAGTTAGATTTGTGGTTTTTTGTAACACTTTTTTATTCAATTAATCAATTAATGAAAGAAAATATCTTTATATAGTACATAGAAAATAACATATTTTATGTAATACAGTAATAACTTGTGATGGAATAGCATTGGCACTGTGAGATTCCTAAAGAATCAATGATAACACATTTGTCAAAATAAACCATCAGTTTCATTTATGTTCGAATAACAATTACAATAACGGTCAAGTAGGTGAAATAAAATATCTAAAGAATTTCACACTTCAAAAACCATTGTTCACAATTATGAATAAAGATTCGATAGACAATACCCAATTAAAAAAATCTCAATTCATTAATTCGTCAAATACCTGAACATCAGAACACCTAAATATGGTACCCTATTACCCTAGGCATTAGTGTAATTGGGCTAGGCTGGGGCTGGTGTCTTCTAACCTTCAAAGCTCGTCACCATGCTAAGCTAAAGAAACTTAGATATCTATTGAATTTCTGTGTGTTATTAATGTCTGTCAGTTTGTGGAACCTCATACTTCCACATGTTCATGGTTTCATATTTTGTTACATAGTATTAGTTTTGGAACTTAGCACTTTTGATCCCTGAGTTGTAGGTAAATATGCACCCAGTTCTGTAGAAATAGAGCATCTATTTCTAGTCATTGCGAAGTCAGCAGGGTGGTGGAAATGATGTGCATGTATCTTTAGTCCTTGAGAAGTCAGTGAAGTGGCAGAAATGGTCCTTACTAGAGTAGTGGCGTAAATGACTTCTCAAGGACTATGCCTTCTATTCACTAGTAAGTGTGTAATTCTGGGATCAAAAGTGCAACTATTCTGATTATTTATTCAATTCCCTTTTTGTATTTGAATTTTCAGGTGTGGGTAAGAGTTGCCTTCTCTTACGTTTCTCAGATGGTTCTTTCACCACCAGTTTTATTACCACTATTGGGTATTTATTTTTATGACTTGCTTGACTTTTATTTTTCGTTGCTCTGCTTCTTCTTCTTCTTCTCCAAAGTAGAATATGTATGAGCACTTAAAGTCAAAAGTGAACAGAGTAAATTTCAAATCCTTAACTGTCGAGATGTAGATTTTGTTATCAGCAACAAGAAAAACTATGTTGAAGAGTAACATTGTAATATAAATTATAGAAAATTTTTGTGGGCTCACATACTAAACCAAACAAACATGCACTGATTTTAAAAGAAAGTGAGTATTCGTATTGAAGAATAAAAATCTTACAGCATTGATTTCAAGATAAGGACCATAGAGCTTGATGCAAAACGGATCAAACTTCAAATCTGGGATACTGCTGGTCAGGAGCGGTTCCGAACAATTACAACTGGTAAGTATGTGGTCATTTTCATTCCTCTGTATCAACACCTGACTTAATTTATTGCTTATTTGCAGTGTTTTCGTTACTTTTTCTATCATCTCAAAAGTGTTTTAATCAAAAGAGTTCCAAAGTTTAAATTGTAACCAGATAATATATGGATTATGCTGCAATTGTTTTGAGCTACTGCTGTACATACAAACTCATCTTAGAAAAATGATTTTTTTCATTTTTCATTTTCATTTACCCCAGTGCCGCAAAGGCTCCCACCTACGGTGGGGTAAGGGGGGGTCGGATGTACGCAGTCTTACCCCTGTACTAAAGCAGAGAGACTGTTTCCGGATGACCCATTGTGAAAATCCCGTCCAAAATTGCATGGACCGACTGCTGCTTCATAACAAAGAAGCGCAGACAGTTTAGTGAGCCATTTTGCTTTATTCCATCATAATCTCAAGCCAAAAAATAATGAATCTTTGGCTCCATTGAAAATGATGGAAAATCTTAGAAAAATGATACGCTAATAAATAAAATCTAATAGGCTTCCTTCAGTTGGTCAGGTTATTTTACTTTATTCCACTGTTTTCTCGTATATCTGCTTGGTAAACATTACTTGCTACTTAAATGTATGCCATCTTATTGTGTTTTTTTCTGATCTACAGCTTACTATCGTGGAGCAATGGGTATTTTGTTGGTCTATGACGTCACTGATGAGTCATCTTTTAACAGTAATTGACAATCGATGCTTTCAAATTTTCATTAGTCATGAATTCATGCTCTCTTATATACTTAAGCCTGTCAACCAGTTATCCATCTCTTAAATCCCTTATAGGATTTACTCCCCACCCTCCCCTCCAAGATATTGTGAAGTTACTTGATTGACTTTTTACTTGGTTTGATTACTGGAATTTTTGTGTGCCTAGACATCCGGAACTGGATTCGGAACATTGAACAACATGCTTCCGACAATGTCAACAAAATACTCGTTGGAAACAAGGCTGACATGGATGAAAGCAAAAGGGTGATGCATCATTTCAGCTATTAGCTTTCATATGCTAATATTGAATTGCTAAATTCGTTACTCTTTACTATTCGCTATGAATGAATTGATACCAATCTTCCTTTTCCAGGCTGTTCCTACTTCCAAGGGTCAAGCATTAGCTGATGAATATGGAATAAAATTCTTTGAGACAGTGGGTATTAGAATTTATCACGGGTTTCATGGAGTTTTTGTTTATAGCATTTGTTCTAAGTCATGCTAACAATTTCATGTAGAGTGCCAAGACCAATATGAATGTTGAGGAAGTCTTCTTTTCAATAGCTAGGGATATCAAGCAAAGGCTAGCTGAGTCCGACTCAAAAGCTGAGGTGCTATAATAGACTTTCTTTGGACTTTGTTTTTGACCTTGTTTTTGTATTCCCATTGTCTTGATTTATCCGTGAAAGACCACCTAACTAATCCAATTAAAAACAAAAAAATGTGTCAGTTCACTCAGTTGTGGAGACCATCTCCTGTAATGCATTTTGACATGTCTGTGTTTCCGGTTCTCTATATTTTGTTGTTTTTTCTCTTTATACAGGGATTTATTATTTGTCATGCTTCTAAGAATGCATTCAATATTTGCTTACTGACCCGTCTTTACTTAAAACATTCCAGCCTCAGACCCTCAAGATTAATCAAGCAGACCAGGCAGAGGGAGCAGCTGCTGCAGCTCAAAAATCTGCTTGCTGTGGTTAATAAGCTGCTTGCTGATAGGATGATAGTTGTTGATACACACCCTCAAGGTGACTGTTTTTTCGTGCAAAGGAGGGACTAATCTTGTTTGACAATTTTTATTCGCATATTTTTCTGTTAAACATCAAATTGCTTTCTATATCAACTGACTGCATTATGTTGCAGCTGTTAATTTTACATAAAGTATGGTTTGTTAGTATATAAAACTACATCACTCATCTTTATGGATCCTTATTTGTTTCAATATTTCATAAAGCTCTATGAAGTCAAATGGGGTTCACCACATCACAATCTTACATTAGTTGTCGTAAATGGTTTGCTACTTCATCCGTACAAGAACACTATGGAAAATCTGTGTGTGACACCATCTCATTTCGTACAACGTGTCAAAGTCAAATTGTAATTCATATTTTAATACTACCTCCGTTCCTATTATATCTTCCAAATAGGTTTGACGCACAATTTAAGATAGTGAGTATTATGTGGCGGAGAGTTGTGCAGAAGAGAGAGAAATGTGTAAGAAATGTTGTGAATCACAATTTCTTTACTATAAAGGGAAAGTGGAAGTTTTAATTGGAACGGACGAAAAAAGAAAGTTTTAATAGGAACGAACGGAGTATATAAAAATCCATCAAATTTTGGTTCATGCTTACCAGATCTGAACCTGGTCTCGGTCCTGTGGTTCGTTACTGAGGTTGGGAACACATCACTAGTCTGGTACCCATCCCAATGTAAGAGAGCTAGACTAGCATTTACCGTGGACTAAAGGCGATTTTTAAATACATCCCAAATTCCCAATGTATTAAAGGTGAATTTTTTGCTCTAAATGGCAGATTGGCAGTATCTCTGCCTGAAAGTTGATAATACTGTTTTTTGGAGGTGGTGGGTAGGGGTGGGCATGATCGGCTAATCGTAATTTGGTTAACCGAGAAACCTATTACTTTGGTTAACCGATACTCAGTTAACCGAAGTTTCGGTTAACCGAGTATCGGTTAACCAAAACTTCGGTTAACCAAAAACCATAAAACCATTGAAGAAATAATTTTCTAAACAAAAATCATAATTTTCTAAACCAAAAAACATGTATAAGTAGATCAAGTTTTGAAGAAGATAATAGAAATAAAGAATAGACCAGTATTAACAATTTTATCTTCCAAGTTTAATTATGTCTACTTTTTTGGAAACAAATACGAAAAAAATTATTAAGAAAATGACAATTAGAGTAGGAGTGGACTGGCCCGACCCGGAACCGGAACGGCCCGGAACCGGACCGGCCCGGTGAACCGGTTGGTTGCCCAGTTCGGGCCATCTGGCCCGGTGAGATGGTGGTTCGGGCTCGGGTCCTTCAAAAGGTGAACCGGCCCGGCCGGTTCGGGCCCGGGCCGAGCCAATTTTTTTTTGATTTTTGATTTTTTTTAAGTTTTTGGGTTGGGCTGGGTATTTTGGGCCATTTGAAGTGGTTAGGGTTGGTTTGAGGGTGAGAGGGAGGGTTGGGGGTTAACTAGGAAAACCCAAAAAAAAAATTAGAACCGAGGCTCGGCCCGGCCCGGCCCGGCCCGGACCCGGGGGTTACTCGGGCCGGTTCCTGGCCTCCCCTTCATGAACCGAGGCCCGGCCGGGCCCAGGCCCGAACCGGACCCGAAGCGGAACCGGTCCACCCCTAATTTAGAGTTTTGAAGTTAGGGAGTCAAGTAAAGCTAAAGTCATGCAAAAATTCAAGTTTATGTTGCTCAAAGAGAAGTGAAGTTACGGAAAAGGTAAAGGATAGGATGATAAAGGCAAAAACACTAACCTGCACCATTGAGCTTAACCTTTACTTTCTCCATTTAAAAACAACCGTACACGATGGATTGACGATAAACCGATTCTAATCCATTTTAAAACGGTTAACCCACCGTGAAACATTTTTTTTTAATCGGTTAACCGTACTGTGATTTCGTTTTAAAAGCGGTACGGTTAACCAGAAAATTAGTGGTTATACGGTTTTTTTAAACGGTTACGCGGTTATGATTTTTTGTGCCCACCCCTAGTGGTGGGGGTAGGACCGTAAGAAATGAGATAAATTTAATTAATATTAATGAAAGTGTAACTAATAGGATAAATGTATTAATGTATATTAATCAATGGAAGTGTAACTAAGAGGATAAATTTAACTAATATTAATGAATATTAGTTAAACTATAAATTATGTTAACTAACTAATATACTCGTATAATATAATGTTTGTAGTATATAATATATTAGTATACTACTATAAGATGAGTAGTACACTCATATTTAATACTTTAATATATATACTTAATATATAAGTAGATATAATAATTGTATACAACCAAGTATTCCAGTCCAGCTCATTGTGAGGTTACCGTGCCTAGTGGGAGGTCTCGAGTTCGAATCCTGCTAGGCACACAAGGGTTTGAAACTCAATGGAGTAAGTTTCATCCCTGATTACTCCAGGCTCCCCCAGACCCCCGGAGTAAAATAAAAATAAAAATATAATAATTGTATAACTAATTTAAATAGATATAATATATATTAATAGGTATAGAGAGAATCAGAGAAGATGATTAGAGAGTATTAGAGAGTAGGAAGAATTGGAGAATAGGTGTAGGAAAATGTTTAGAAAATAGGTATATTTATAGAGTTTTTTTTACTCCCCCAAACCCCCACCCCCACCCTCCAATGGTGTTATAGCCGTTGGCAATGGCCAGGAGCCCAAATCCAATTCAAACAATTTTTTTTTTTAAAAAATAATGGCCGTTAGGCTAGACTGGTTGATGGCTCATTTTATGCAAATGAGTATCAAGGTGTGTGTGTGTGTGTTGGGATATGGAAGTCCCAGATGTCGTCTCTCAGGACGCTATATAAGGAAAGTAAGTGTGAATTCGACTTAAGTGTCTAAGATGTAAGCTAATCGATCAAGTAGTGTTTGTTTTTAGAAAAAAATAGCAAGTAACGGAAGAAATTAATAATCTCAAATAAAAGGGAAGTGGGGGGTCTCAAGGACCCATCATGTAATCAACTAGGAAAATGATTATTGGGGAGATCAATCAACAAATATGCATTTGAGGGTTTGGTGAAAGTTCTCTCGCCACTCTCGTGGCCAAGAGATTGCCAAGGGAACTCAACGGTCACTCTCGTGGTCAATTGACTTTCCTAGGCTAAACAATTTAGCATAACCAACTAACTTGACCCCTATCTCTTCCCACTCTCGTGGTGAGGAGATGATGTGTGTGTGTGTGTCTAGCGAAACCCTACGAGTCTCCTCGTGGGTTCTAACAAGTTTCTACATAAATTGTGGCCATCAATTAAGAGAAAAAGTCATTGAGGATTTTTCACAAACACATGGCATGCATATTTTATTGACCGATTTCCCTAAACAATCTACTCACACATAATTAAAGACGAAATCAAAAGATTTGCAAAGAATAAGAGCATATGCATGACTAAATAACTAAAGGGAAATGCAAGAGAATTGAGAAGAACTAAGATTTGTATTGATTAAAGAGTAAATTCATGCAATTGTAATCTAAAACAATGATCAAGAGTGAAAGAGAGTAGCAAAGTAAGAGATTACAAGCTTAAATAGGGTTCTTAAGCTTTTCAAAGTCGAAATTTGGCCAAAAGATGCGTAAAAAGGGTAAAGTTCACATTTTTAAATGTTTCCGCAATCGGGGGAACGTCTGGAGGAACGTCTTCCCGTTAGGAGGAACACCTGAGGGAATGCTAGGAGGAACGTCATTCCCCTGGGCGTTTCTTCCTTTACAAAATAAAACAGTCGGCTGGCAGAGAGTTCGACGCCGGGAGGAACAGAGTAGGGACGTCGTTCTTGCAGGAACGCCTGAGAGGAACGACGTTCCCTGCCAGCGTTCCCACACCTGGGAGTTCCGGAGCCAACTGCAGCGTAGGAAAGGTGAGGGGAAAGGCGTTCCTCCTCCCTGGCCTCCAAAAATTCTTCTTTTCATCCCGTGATGCCCTTCCTTTGCTCGGTCCAATCCAAAACTTTTCTCTCTCGTCTGTTTCCTTCTTCTTTCGATCTCTTTTAAGCTCCAGCTTCTTCCCTCAATCCACAATGCTCTTCACACTCGTATGAAAACTTGCTTTTGCCCACATATTTGCTCCAAATATCTTCAAAGTTAAGTGGAGCTTTTATTCTAGTCCCGCAATCGAAAACAAACCAAAACCACACGAAATACATGCTAGAATGCTGTTAAATTGACACACAACGACTAACAATTAAGAGAACAAATAAGGTGTTTTCACACCTTATCAACTCCCCCACACTTGAGTCTTTGCTTGTCCTCAAGCAAACTAGACATCAGACAGCAAGTACGGGTTACAAATTTCAAGCAAATCAAAAACAGGCAGACAAGAATGTATTCACAGGAAACTGTACCGGATATCACGACAACTTCTTCCTAAACAACTTCTAATCTGACTCGTAGGACTCTATGCACGCAGATTCATCAGTAAAATTCAAAATTCTCAGGCGATCTAACATACAAGAATCTATTCCTCAATCAGAAGGTCTTGGTGGTAGAGGTTGTGAACAAAGAAGAATAATGAGGGTATTTTCCTTAATAATATGGAACAAAGTGTAAATTTGGTTAGCATGGTCAGGTGTATCACGAAACAATCTAAGGAGAGTAAGGCAAACAACACAACACAATCGGGACAACTATCTATCTCTATGCAAGGGGTAGGCACGGTGTACAACTAAGCTAAACCGCCGCAACACACATTGGTGCTTCGTCGTATACTTGAAGTACGGGGAGGACTTCTGCAAATTTATTTCAATTTCTGACCAGAAGCCTCCAGATCCCATTAATTACGTTTGTTTTCTCTGTCATGTTGGCACGAGAACCCCGTTTCTTTCGAAAGCTCACCAGTCTCATCTTGTTGTGCATAGCACGTACGCTTTTTGACTGGTTCGCCTATTCCCTTTTGGGAAAATGGAAACTAATAGTCCAACATTTTAGCTATCTTCTTACAATAGTCCCACCTTTTCATTATTCATGAATAATCCAACTTTTGCACCCCATCTTCATTCACTTGTCCCTGACCGATTTATGACCTGTTATTCCAAGTTATTTTCATATCTTTGTAAAACATTATACCATAATTCCCACCTCGCTCTCAGTGCTATCAATCTTCTTTCTCAGATTTCTCACGTCCTTATCTCCATCTTCTTTGTTTCCGTCTATCTGAATCTCCACCGGAACAATCAACGGTGCATCATCTTTCTTCGGGGTTTCCTCCTCTGGAGGCTTAGATTCCTCCAACCGCTTTCCGCTCCTCAGGGAGATTG